GAGCATTATGAGGATTGAGCATAAAGCTAGAAGATTATGGCTGAAAGTAATAGAAACCATCTCTTACAGGACCTTTAAAAAGCATCTTCCCCGAAAAAATATCCTTCACAACAAAGTGAAAAGGATAAAGATGCATAGAACACCAATTATCAACAAGAAATTGATTTGCACAAAGCAAATTGTGTTTCAAATCAGGAGCATGTAACACATTACTAAGTTGAAATTTGTGATGAGGAGTAAGTAATGTAGAGGAACCAGAGTGAAGAATAGGCAAACTTTTGCCATCTCCAATGTAAACTTGCTTAGGTCCGAAGTAAGGCTCTAGATTTTGCAAAGTCTTGTAGGAATTGGCCATATGATTGCTAGCACCAGAATCAACAATCCAAGTAGGTTGAGTAGAATGTGTGCTTGCAGTCATAGTAGAATGTGTGCTTACAGCCATAGCAGAAGGAGAAACATTGCTGGAGTTACTGGAATAATGTGGATTCATGCACTGAGGGCACTCAATTGCATCATGCTCAAATTGATGACAAATATAAGCTAGATACCATCTTCCATCGTTATAACCTCACCAGAATTAAGGTAGAGGAGGTACCGGGCCATCAAAAATTCCGGTGAGGTTATAACGATGGAATATCAAAGCAAATAGTGCATTCCAGGTAAGGTAATTGGTTGTGGTCAGCTTGATTGGCACCATAGATCCAATATTCTGGATCGTAATTGAAGGTGTAGAGAAAGAAGAACTGGAAATTTGAGAAAGGAGAAGGATGAATCTGTGTTGCTGACTTAGAGAAGGGAGAAGCAGAGACGGCCATGGAAGAAGATTAGGGTTTTGGTGAAAGCTTAGTGAAGAAGCTTTCAGCGGGAAAGCTTAGCAGAGAAGCGTTGAGTGGGAAAACGTGGGATTTGGATCAAGTCGATAGACAAATGGCAGGTGATACCATGTTAGGAAAGCTGAATTTCATTGAATGAATAATAAAGTTACACTATAGTTGTTTATGTACAACTCTTCACTCTCTCACATAACTCTAACCTTCTAACTAACTTGCCACCTATTACAACAAACTCAACAAATTAACCAACTCTAAGTTTTATCACTAGCTGAGTCTTTTACAATACTATCCTTTACACAGTGCACCTATCACAAAATGTTTATAGAAAGAGACAAGTTCAATTAGGGAGAGAAATAGGAACAAAGCTTTGCCCCAATCAAAGATAAGCTTTTGTACCTCTCCGGTGTTGGCCTTTCCGAATTTTGAGAAGGTATTCGAGGTCAAATGTGATGTAAGTGCAGCAGGATTGGGTGTTGTTCTTTCCTAAGAAGGAGTTTTTCCTATTCACGAAAGTTTATTAACAATTAGAGACATGTTAATAAAATGCATATTAGATGGGTAACTTTGTTTCAGAAATTCCCGTTTGTTATCAAGCACAAATTTGTTGTTCAAAATCGTTTTGCCGATGTCTTGAGTAGACAAGTGTCCTTGCTGATCATCCTTTCTTAAGAAGTTGTGGGGTTCAAGTGCTTGATGGATTTGTGTTTCTCAAGAAATTTGGGGGAAGTACATTAGTCATGAGCCTATGACAGATTACTTTATCAATGAAGGTTTTCTGTTCAAAGGCAATTAGTTGTGTATTCGTGTCTCTTCCTCACGAGACAAACTTATTGCATAAAGGTGGATTAAGCGGTCATCTCGACCGTGATAAAACAATAGCAAGTCTAGAGGAAAGATATTTTTTGTCGCATTTGAAGCGGGATGTTGGAGTAATTGTGCGGAAATGTTATACTTGTTAGGTTTCTAAAGGGCAAGTCCAAAGCACTGGCTTTTAAATGGCATCGCCTATTCCAAACAACATTTGGCAGGTCCTTGCTATGGATTTTGTGCTCAAGCTACCCCGAACACAAAAAGATAAGTGGGTTCGGCTTTTGGTGTGGTTGACAGGTTTTTCAAGATGGCTCATTTTGTTGCTTACAAGAAGACTACTGATGCATCTAACATAGCCAAACTGTTTTCAGGGAGGTTCGATTGCATGGAGTACTTAAGTTCATCACTTCCGATCGAGAAACCAAGTTCTTGAGCCATTTCTGGACTACCTTGTGGAGAATGTTTGAGACCACTTTGAAATGTTAATTACTAGAGTCCTTTGAGCTATTTTAGGAGTTGTAATCAGTTTATTGAAAGCCTTTGGATGTTTCAATGTAACCATTCAGTTTTGCTTTCAAACTCTAGTGGATTCTAGAAAACTTGTTCTTCGAGGGTTTACATGTCTTTCCCTTGTACTTCATGCTGCGTCAAAATAAGTGGTCTGGATATCTAAGTTTGCTAACTTCGGACATAGATCCGGAGTGTACTCAATTCCAGATGTTGGAATTATGGAAGCATCAGAACAGAAGTTGCACTCAAGTTTCTTCTTTCTTAATTTTAGTGAATGGAGTAACAATTACAATTTGGTTGGGCGTCAAGTTTTCTTGGTTTTTTTTTCTATTTTTCTTTTCTCTAGTTTTGGATTTTTTCTTTCTTTCTTTCTTTCTTTTCTTTCATCGGTTGGCATTTGCATTGGTATCATATTGACATTGGAATTGCACTGACATTCGCACCAATAGCAAAGTTTTGTTAGTAAACTCATGATCTTGTGTACCTTCATGAGTTTCACAGGAGGTGTTGGAAAAACTTTGCAATTTGGTTATACTAGGACTATATTTAGTATTTTACATCTTAGGATTTTCTACCTTATGTTAGATGAGAACTATGATGTCGTTGTAGCCACATTGACTGAAGTGGATGATGCATACGTGGTTGTGGTTTTATGTTTCTTTACCTTTTATCTACTAGGATAACTATTGTTCTTTGCTAAGTGAGAAAATTAAGTCTTGGCAAATATATAGCGTTATTCTTTCTTTTAAACAATGGAATAAGAATTAGAGTTTGCAATAAGTTCTTTTGTATCTTTGATTTGTTAACAATATGACAGCCGCACATCAGCTTGTAGGGATTTTGCCTCATCCCCAACCATTTCACCGATAAAGCCAAAATGTAACTCTTTATACTTGTTTGCTTCAGTTATATTTCTTGTTGTAGTTGTATTGGTTGTTAGAACAAAAGGGTATCAACTTAAGAGAGTACTCGCTCTTCGCCGGCCAGTCACCAAAGTTCTTGATATATGTGTGTGTGTGTGTGCGCGCGCGAGCGCGTGTGCAGGCCTCCAACAGTTTCGTGTACGTATAAAAGTCTATTTGAACGGGGTTAGGCGGATCTGGTATTGAGGAGGGGTTTGAGTACTCTTGCAATGATTACTGAAGTTTTCAGAAGATCTGTTCGTGTAGATGTTTCCAACAATTTGACATGTCTAACGTTATAGGAGAGAATGCAGTGTCACTATGACTGCCACTTTTTGATGTTTTTAAACATATTCCTATTTTCTGAGGGTTTTAAAGGGCCATTGAGAAAGCCAATGACACTATTCATTCTAGCCGACCCAAGATAATGGAGCGTAGCTGCGCACATAAAGCATTACACATCTGCTCTCTCTCTTTGCTTCCTTGTTGCACTTTCACACAGAGTTCGATTACTCATAACCGTTCACCTGGCCTTAAGCTAGAGGCTGAGGCTCCGAAGAGTTACCGAAAGATGATGGTTTAAGTAGAAATGAGTCTGTACGAGATTTCTTGGTACTGTTAGGGTTAGGGTTTTAAGGGTACAAAATTAAAGGAGACGAGTTTCGATTTAACTATTTTTAAGGCTACAAACTTACGAACCAGATTCTCACTTCAGTAATATGCTAGTAGATCAGTGCCTTAGTTACTGGATATATATACATTTGGCTATCAACTCAGATTTGATATAGGCAGCGGCAGATTTAGGCAAAATTATCCAAGGTTCACGTAAAAGTTCACAAACATTTCTTAGACATATACTAACCTTCAAAATTAAACCATAATTCCATCATTCATAATTTATAGAACAAATGACAATATAAGTTATAATTGTCTAGACACGTTTTCATATTTTGAAAATACTACATTATAACTTCATTCTCAACAAAAAAGTAAGCATTGCTCTCAACATAAATTACCATGATCTCCCATTCAGTTACACAATAGACTTTTCATAATATTCAGTAGAAAAGTCTCTCTCCACTGAAGTCATAGCAGCCTTTAGAATCAAAGTCAATGCGGGGTGGTAGGAGTTTTGGGTGTTAGGGATTGAGATTTGAGAATTGGAATTGAAATTGAATTGAGCCGAATTTGCTGCAGCGTGCGGGTTTGCTTTTTTTTTTTTTTTTTCTTTTCATTTTAAGTTGCTATTTGTCTGCTTTAATTTTATATTTTATAAAGTAACCTAGCCCAAAACGATATTTTGGCCAGATAATATTTATAAAAAAAAAAAAAACTAATAATAAGGGAAACTCATTTTTTGAAGTATTTTATCAAACAGTTAGAGGGTACGTTCAAAAGTGTTGCACCCCAAATCATTCATAAAAATTCACTGTTGTTCGGGGGTCAGTTTACCCCCTTCCCCCTAATGGGTCCGCCCCCAAATAAAAGATGACTTATTTCCTCTTGTTTTTCTCTTTAATCAAGCTAGGAGGATTCTAACATGGGGCCTCTTCTATTGTTGGGAAGAAAAATCACTAAACCAGTAGTTACTAGTTAGTTATGAAGGTGAAGGTGAATGCGAATCAGGGCCAACTGATATAATCATTTGAGCAACTAAAATGACCGAATGACAAAAATATGTAACAGCATGAAAAAGCATTGCCAGATTGTTTAATACTCAAAGGGACTTATCGCATTCGCCCCTCCTACAGTATTGTTTGCGTAGAAAAAGCAGGTTTACAGATTTCCCCAAACCCGTTCAAAACAAATGTTAACAAGGATTACAAATATTTCCCCTATGTGCTCGATAAACTAATGACCATAACGCTATGAATTTACTACGAAATATTCACAAGTTACATGAATGTTACATCTAATGACCATAGCGCTATGAATTTCTTATCAGCGTGAAATCAGTTATCGATCGGTTCAGCAAACTAAGAGAGGAGCATCGTCAGCTGCTGAATCCTGCTTCGGAAGTCAAGGTAACCACTTAACAGCTCCAATTTTCTTTTTGCTGAATACCTGCAATTATACTGTATAGAGGCATTATATATATATGATACTGTTAAACACTAAGCAATAAGCTTCTTCAACAATGCATACTTGCTACCCAGAATTGCTTTCATATAAGGTCCTACGCATGCATACCACTTGAATAATTACGTAGCTTATGGTCTTGCCTATGTATAGTAATAAACATTAGCAAACATAATCTGTCCTCAGCAATGTTGGATTACATCCTTTCGGAGAGATTATAGAAAAGCAAACATAGAAATGGCGAGAAAGTAGTCTTTCTTAGTCACAAATTTAACTGTATGGAAAAGTACACGATAGGATTAGTCTAGAGAGTTCGAAATAGCATTATGGACAAACATGTATCCATACAAAGAAATTACGACTCAGATGTTACTATCACTTTTCATTAGAAACCTTCTGAGACAATCATAGAGCTCTATCCTCCTCAATGCATTGTTGGCACTTAACTCATTAAGAGACGCATAAAGGATTTTAGGGAAAAGAAGCTATAAACATTAACAAACCATTAAACAACTGCACCATTTTCTGAAGGTCTAAAATACATGAGATTGAAAGCCTGAACAAAATTGTGTATCAAAAAGTGAAAAACTCAGGTAGATCGGAAAAACGGTAGGAAAAACGATATGAGGCATGGAAATACAAGATCATTCAGGAAAGGCAGATGCATGCTCTTGCGACGCTGAGAATAATCAAATGTGAAGTCCAGATAGGAAAAGAAACATGGAAGAGATGGGATTTATGTTACTGACCTTGCCCTTCCACAGACTCGTGAAACAAGGTGTTTAATGAAGTTATAAGATATGCCATGCAACTAGTCATTTTCCTGGTTGAAGGTTCAATGTAAAATACTGTTACTGTAACGCAACAAGGAAAGGGAGATGAGTTTCACTATAATTTTCACGATCAACAGACTGCCTTGGGAAAGCTTCTATCTTATCTATCTGACATAAGTTCAAACAACTTGTTAAAATTTAACTAAAGTTCTAGCAAATAGAAACACAAGTTTACAAGTTGATATCACAATTCGAAGTTTCCATCAGAAGCAAAAATCTGGTAGTAGTAATAATTTAAGGGTTTCTCTACAAGGTGTTTTCTTCTATATATACAACAACAACAACAACAAAACCTTTTCCCACTAAGTGGGGTCGGCTATATGAATCCTAGAGTGCCATTGCGCTCGGTTCTATGTCATGTATTCCGTTAGATCCAAGTACTCAAAGTCTTCCTAGGTCTTCCTCTACCCCTTCGGCCCTGGACCTCTGTCCCGTAGTTGCATCTTTTAACCGGAGCATTAGTCGGCCTTCGTTGCACACGTCCAAACCACCGTAACCGATTTTCTCTCATCTTTCCTTCAATTTCGGCTACTCCTACATTACCTTGGATATCCTCATTCCTAATCTTATTCTTTCTCATGTGCCCACACATCCAACGGAGCATCCTCATCTCCACTACATCCATTTTATGTACATATTAATGCTTCACCGCCTAACATTCCGTGCCGTACAACATCGCCGACTTTATTGCCGTCGTATAAAAAATTTCCTTGAGCTTCAATGGCATACGACAGTCACACAATGTTGATGCACAAAATCAGTGGGGACTTTGGTACAACAAAAAATGTTAAGTTTGTGACCTTCGTTAGATTGCTCCGGTCACTAGTGTGGTTAAGTATGTAAATGGATAGGGACAGGGAAGCAAACACAAGATGTACATGGTTCACCCAGATTGGCTACGTTTACGGAGTAGAGGAGTTCTCATTAATTGTGAAGGGTTTACACAAGTACATAGGTTCAAGCTCTCTTTTAGTGAGTACTAGTGAATGATTTAGTACAAATGACATTCGGAAATATTGTGAGAGAATGATCTCTATTTATAGAAGAGAGTTTCTAGTTTCATTCTGACATTGACACATGTCGTGTTGTGATTGGCTTCTGATGTTGACACGTGTCGCGCTATGTTGGCTTTTGATGTCGACACGTGTCGCGCTGTGATTGGCCTTCTGGTTGGAGGGAAACTCTTCTGGGTCATTGACGGTATAACGTTGATCGATGCTCAATAGTTTCGGGATTGGTCAAGTATGGTACACAGTGCTCCCCTAAGTTCCCGAGTGAGGGAAGCTCCTCGGTTGGGGACTTGCAAGATCCAAGCCATTGAGTAATCACGAAACTTCTAAGTACCGAAGTGTGGTATCATTTTCACTTGCCTTATCTGTCTCATACGTAGATGTGACATCTTCTCTGGAAGTACTTTTCCTCCATCTAGGGGTGGTATCTTTAACCGATGAAGATGCACAAGGTAATGTATCAATTTCACTTGAAACTTACTTGTAGTTTCGGGCTTGGTCAAATGCGATACAAAACCTTATAGTAGGAGTCCCCCAAGTCGCCGAGCTAGGAGATTTGCCGAAAGCGGTAACAGACAAGGTAAGCAATCAGACTTCCAAGTAAGCAACCTCGATCGGAGGTTCAACTTCGGCTTTCGATTGATTGTTCCCCTTCTCATTGTGTCGTAAACAACAACAAGGATAAGGAGAACAAATGGAGAAGAGATGATATGAGATACTTTTGCTTTTGAAGAAGTAACTTTCCACAGGCTTATTCTTGAACTAGGCTGTAGGGTTTTCTGGTTTCCTCCAGAGTATAAGGCCGACTCAAGAAATTGAGGGTTAAAACAAGTCAATTAAATTAAGAGTACGTTCGACCTTCATGATATGGGATACTTTTGCTGTTGACGAAGTAGTGGATGAATCGGCACGTGTTCTGTTGCGCTTGTCTTCACATGCTTCCTTGTATCCTTCTCACTTGCCTTATATATTCCTCAGGCAGATGTGGTATCTTTTCTGAAAGCATAAAATGTTGAAGATGAGTACTCAAGAGCAATGTCAGGTAAGTAGTCATGCAAAAAGTTCCAGGTAGTCAGTTCCTGACTGGAAGCTTGATTCCAAGTGTTGACTGATTGCTCTCTTTCTCCTTGTCTTGCAGGTAAGAACAAGGGCAAATGAAAAGACAGGGAAAAAGCATGATATGGGATACTCTTGCTTTTGACCCTGATGATATGAGATACTTTTGTTCTGGTGTGGCTGGTTTGCATAGGTATTATTTGGGGGGAAGAAAGTTGAGTATTTCGAAAGGCTTCGTTGGGAGTGCCCTCTCAGATATGAGGAAGGGTTGAGCATTTTTGCAGGTCTGCCTGTCCGTGGAGGATGGAGGTCAACATATATAGGAGTCTCCCTAACAACAAGTAGTAATGTTATTCCTTTACTCTTCTTGGTCGTAGCAATGTCTGGCCCATCCGACCGTCGTTTTGACTTAAAATTTGGTGAAGAGGCAGCCATGCCTTCTTAAGACAACATATGGCGCCCATCATTCTTATCCCCTACTAGTCCTTTTACCGTTGAGGACTCTGTGATGAAGAATGATATGACCGCTGCGGTGGTGGCCAGAAACCTTCTCACTCTCAAAGATAACAGGCTACTTTCTAAACGGTTTTATGAGTTGGCTGTTAAGGATTCTCTGGCTCTTAGTGTTCAGTGTGTAGGTTCTGTGTCTAATATGGCCCAACGTCTATTTGCTCGAACCTGCCAAGTTAAATGATTGGCGGCTGAAGTGATAAGTCTCAAACAGGAGATCAAAAGGCTCAAGCATGAGAATAAACAGTTGCATAGGCTCGCACATGACTATGCTACAAACAAGAAGAGGAAGCTCGACCAGCTGCAGGAATCTAATGGTTAGATTTTACTTGATTATCAGAGGTTTGTGGGTTTGTTCCAAAGACATTTATTGCCTTCGTCTTCTAGGGCTGTACCGCGTACTGAAGCTCCAAATGATCAACCCTCGATGCCTCCTCCTTCTGGGATTCTGCCTAGTACTGAGGCTCCGAATAATCACCCTCTGGTGCCTTATCTTTCTGGGGCTCTGCTGACTGCTGAGACTTCTCCCGAGCAACCTTTGTGAAGGCTCCCTCTTGTTTGTTTATTTTGATTCATGTATATGTACATATTTGTAACTTATCGGAGATATCAATAAAAAAGCTTTGCTTCATTTCAACGTATTGTGTTAAATACACCAAGGCCTTCTTCACTAAGTTCTTTGAATTTTTCCTTTTGTTGAAGCTTGTTTGTTGAAGCTTTGTGAGTGAAGCATGTAGGTTGAGGTAGTGCTCACTTAATTTCCCGAGTGAGAAAAACTTCTCGTTTGGAGACTTGAAAAATCCAAGTCACTGAGTGGTCGTGAGACTTTCGAGTATCAAGCTGCAGTAGCATATGGTAGGAGTCCCCCAAGTTTTCGATCGACGGAGTTGACGAATAAGGCATTTCCTTTCTAAGTGGTAGCCCAAAACTCCTTCTTCATTTATATTTGTTATGGAAGTTGTTAGGCCCAAAGAAGATGAGGCCTAGGCAGTTTTTTTTCTTCGAATTTTCGAATTTTTGAATTTTCGAATTTCCGAAAAAAAAATATATATATACATTTTTAAAGCTTTGTAGGTGAAGCTTTGGTGTTGAAGCTTTGTAGGTGAAGCTTTGAGGTTGAAGCTTTGTTAGGCATCATGAATTGATTTTGCTTCACACTATCTTGATCAAGATAATGTGAAGCTTTTGTAGGTGAAGCTTTTGTAGGTGAAGCTTTTGTGGGTCAAGCTTTTGTGGGTCAAGCTTTTGTAGGTGAAGCTTTTGTGGGTCAAGCTTTTAGGGGTGAAGCTTTTGTGGGTGAAGCTTTTGTAGGTCAAGCTTTTGTGGGTTAAGCTTTTGTAGGTCAAGCTTTTGTAGGTGAAGCTTTTGTGGGTCAAGCTGTTGTGGGTCAAGCTTTTATAGGTCAAGCTTTTGTGGGTCAAGCTTTTGTGGGTCAAGTTTTTGTGGGTCAAGCTTTTGTGGGTGAAGCTTTTGTGTTGAAGCTTTTGTGGGTGAAGCTTTTGAGTTGAAGCTTTTGTAGGTGAAGCTTTGGAGTTG